TTTCTTCTCCAGGCAGTCAGATGGCACAGTGGATAGAGGGTTAAATCTAGAGTCAGGAAGTCCTGAGTTCAAATGTGACCTCAAACATTTGCCGGTTGTATGACCCTGGGCAATTTAGCCTAGTTTAGTAATCTAGCCTATCTGAATCTTAGTTTCTTCATCTGTAAAATGGAGAGGATAATAACACTGAGGAAGGAAAAGAAAGAATAGGGAGGAAGGAAAAAAAGGGAAAGACAGGATAAAGGATGGAGGGAAGAAGAAAAAGAGGAAAGAAAACAGGGGAAAGAAGGGAAGGAAGGCAGAGAATAGGGAATGAAGGAAAGAAGGGAAAGGAAAAAGGAAGGAAAGGAGGGAAGGAGGAAACCTATACGGCTTTCTAAATATGCTTTCATGTATCTGAACTAATCATAGAATACCAGACTAGTACAAGGCCTCAGAGATCATCAAGTACAATCCAGCGAACAATTCTGCAGTCCCCTTTATCTTACTCCTTAGAGGTTATATTCTGGTTTCTGCTCAAATATCTCATTATTTAATGAGGCAGTCTGTGTTCATACAACTCTGATCATTAGAAAGTTATTTTTTATATTGACTAAAAATCTATTTCCCATTTGCTTTTGCCCATTAGTACCAGTTCTACCCCCCGAACCTATGCACTTTGGGAAATGAAAAAATAAAATCATATTGATACTAAAATCAATTCAAAGAATTCGTGTGTGTGTGTGTGTGTGTGTGTGTGTGTGTGTGTGAATTAAATAAAGGCACTCACTGATGAGTATAGTCCCACAATCTGAGATAAATTATCTTATACAACGGACAGTTTAACTCCATGTTCTTTTTTAAGGTCTCCAAGATGCCAGGGTGGTTATAGCATTCACAATGGGTCTTTCTTACCAAAAGTCAGTAGAATGTAGGCTCAGGGGGAAAAGGAGGAAATCAGGGGTGTGCTTGAGCCGTATTAAACCAGAGATCTGATAGCTCTATTTTTAGCCAACCTTTATATACACCTCAGAAATCAGCTTCATTTGTTGTTCTGTTGACTGTCTGCCAGGGATGGGGAACCTGCGGCCTCGAGGCTACATGTGGCCCTCTGGCTGAATCTAAACTTCACAGAACAAATCCCCTTAGTAAAAGGGGATAAAATAAAAGGAGGTAACATAAAAATCCCCTTTTATTAAGAGGATTTGTTCTGTGAAGTTTGGGTTCAGTCGATGGGTCACACTTGAGAACCTAGAGGGCCACATGCGGACTTGAGGCTTCAGGTTCTTCACCCCTGGACTAGATTTAAAAAGGTGATGAAGAAAATAGTAATAATTCAGATTAAATCTAAAAGCACATTGTACATACTTTTTTTTTTTTTTAGTGAGGCAATTGAGGTTAAGTGACTTGCCCAGGGTCAAGTGTCTGGTCTGAGATTGGATTTGAACTCAGGTCCTCTTGACTCCAGGGCTGGTGCTCTATCCGCTGCACCATCTAGTTGCTCCTATCTTTCTTTTTTTCAATGGTGATACAGTTATTAAACATTTACCAACAAATCCCTAGAAGGAATGTTGATGATTTGCAGGTATTTGGCATACTGGTGAACTCAATACATGCATTTCAAGGCATTCAATAACTCTTTAATGTCATATGACCATAGACTTTGAGGTAGAAGAGACTTTACTAATTCAACCCCTTGCTTTAATAGATTAGGAACTAAGGTCCAGAGAAGTCAATTGACTTGTTCAAGGTCATACAGGTCGTAAGTGGCAGAATCAGGACAATACCAATTGAGGTCGTGTCCATACCGCAATGGCATGGTGGATAGGGCACTGGACTTGGAGTCATGAAGTCCTGGATTTAAATCTTGCCTCAGACACTTGGTAACTGTCACCCTGGGAAAGTTCTTTCACCTCTCTGTGCCTTAGTTTCCTATAAAATGAGGGGTTTGGACACAGTGGCTACCAGGTTTCCTTCTACCTCTAAATCTCTAATCCTCTGAGACCATGATTCAAATCCAACGCTATTTCCACAATCCCAGCTGCTGGTTCTTTCGGTGCCCAGGCCTGGTGACTTATGTTCAGGGAGAGCTGTGGTCTGTTAACACTTTTTCATCTGTCTCGGTTTTCAAGTTTCTGTTGCCCAGCTCAAAAACACCACTTCTTTTCCTCATGTGGAGGTCTCAGTAATGTCCATGGGAATTAGTTCCATGGATCACAAACAGTCTAGGGCTACTATTATGAAGGATGACACATCACGAGGCTTTTACATGACTCTAGCTCTCCAGAGTCAGGATATTTCATTTCCCTCCAGACCAAAATCAATACTGAGGGTGGAGATGTATGGGCATTTGAAGATGATTGTTTGTCAGGCAGAGAGGATCAACATTTGGGGTTTCAACCCATGATAGAATATTGTTTTTTTTCTTCTCTGGGCATGTGGAATACAGATTTCATTTCAGTACCCTGTAATACGCCACAGGACGCCTCAACTCCTCTGTCTCAAAATATGACTGTGGGAAGCATTAAGGAAATTAAATGGTGAGAGCTGAAGGTCCAGCTCTCCCCCAAATCACAAAAATTAGATTTGGAAGGCACATTAGAGATCATTTAGTCCAACAGACTCATTTTATACATGAGGAAACTGAGTCTCACAGAGATTAAATGACTTCCAAGAATACATAACTGATAACTCACAGAGGCAAGTCCTGTTAAGTCACATTCAATGCTCTCTACTCAGAGGCAAGCCTGAGGGCTGTGTCTAAGTAAAGTACATGACTTTCAAAACAACTTGTGATTGGAAAGGCTAGTTTTGGGGTGATCCCTCTATGTATGTGTTTTGTGAGGAGAATGTGTTCTGTGATGAGGATCCTGTTTTAACCTTTGTGTTTTTTTTTTTTAAGTCCTTGTTTTTCCCTCTGCCCAAAGTGAAGTTGCACAGTCAATTATTACATAAAAATGTAAGCAGATCATCCATAAGCCTGCCCTGCAATCCAAGAGACTTCCTGATCAGCCAGCAATAGAGTCTAGAATTATAAAAAAGACCAATGAGTTTGGTTCAGATTGCAGAGGATGGCCAATCCTAAATCAGCAAAAGGTATTCTCTGGAGGAAGATAACATTTTTTTTTCTAGATTCCTAAGGAAGCCACAGTCAACAGTATCAGATACTTGGTCTGAAGAGTTTTTTTGCCCAAGCTAAGCCTAAAGAACTTTCCTTAAAAATTAGGTTAGAAAATCTAAGGTATCATCCACTTTGGGACTGGGCAGTTACGGTTTTTTGGGTTTTTTTTGTTTCATCCAGTGATTTCATTAGTGTAGATATCTCAGTGGTAAAGAAATTCCTTCTACCAATACAGATCAGAAACTATTGTGATCTTAAAAGTTACCTAGGATACTAAGGAGTCTAGTGATATACCCAGAGTTGTATAACCACCATGTGCTGGGGGTAAGACTTAAGCTCAGATCATCCTAACACCAAAGTCACATCTCTACTTACTAAGCTATGAAGTTTCTTTTATATACATTACAAAACACCTTATTCTGGTGATTCATTTCTGAATTTGAATATTCTCCTTGCCATTATTAACAAATCCTAGAAAACCTACTCTTGTCCATAGTGTGCGATTGGAGCATAATATCTAGAATTGCAAAGTTCTTTAGATGTCATCTAGTCCTTATCCCCCACCCCCAATTTTGTAGATAAAGAAACTGAGGATCATATAAGGGAAAGGATTCACTCAAGGTCAAGCAGATAAATAGCAGAGCAGAGACCTAAATGCATGTCAGTGCCTCCAAATCCAATATCCCGTACCCTCTCGGACAAAGGTAAGAAGGGGAAAGGGTATGAATGCCAGGCTTGGACATTCAGTTACGGTGGCAGAATCACAGGATTGTAGATTTAGACCTGGAAGAGTCATTGAGTCCAACCTACTAATTTTTACAGATAAAGAAACTGAGGCTCATAGAAGGGAAAGAGTTAGCCCAGGATCAAGCAGGTGGTACATAGCAGGATAGAAACCTAAATGCTTGTATTTAGATAGATTTAGAGCTTCAGGGGACCTCAGAGGTCATCTACTCCCACTTAGTCATTTATCAGATGAGGAAACGAAGGTTCTTCTGCTAATTCAAACCTTGACTGGAGCTACTCCCCTCAGCCTCCTCTGCCCTCTGATTAGAAGGCACAGTACCAAACTCCTCCCAATGCTTTTCTTTACAGAGGGTAGAAACTGGAGTTTTTAGCTTGCTCCACTCTGCATCTGTTGTTCAGCCTGCTTTCAACTCCGTGGAACAATATGCCTCTGCACTGGGTACCCCCTGGGCTGCCCCCACTCCTTACCCCACTTTTCTGCCTCCTTTTATGTTTTCTCCCTGTATTAGATTATAACCTCTTTGAGGGCAAGGACTGCTTTTCTTTTTATTAATTGTATCCCCAGTGCTTAGCACAGGATTTGGAACATAATAGGTACTTAATAAATGTTTATTGGAATGGATTGGATTGGAAGTGACTTGCCCAAGACAATACAGGTGATAAATGACTTAAACAGATGTCTTCAATAATACTAATATACTGGGTCACTATGTACTATATGTCAGGAGAAGGGGCAGTAGGAGGGGAGGAGTACTTAGGGATTGAGTGCAGCATATCTCAGAACCCAGGAAACAAGGAGGCTCTTGGTACAGAGGAGAACTGGAAGGTTCAGCACTCCTCAACACAGTTTTCAGTATTTAATGAAAGAATGAAAATTATAAGTTCTGTTCCTCAAAGCAAAAATTCTTCTACTCCAGTTCAGAAAAAGCTGAAAACCCTGGGAAGGTGAGATCAGCAAGCTCTAGAACTCTGCTTCATCTCCTTCACAACCTGATCACCGTTTATGCTACATTGCACACCTGGACCCAAGTAACTCCATCATCTCTGGTTGTGTAATTAAAAAGCTTTCACGAGCAATTGAAAGCGACTTTCCCCGTGGATGGTGTCAAGCCCAGAAGGAAGAAACAAAAATGGTTTGAAAGCAAATACTCACGGAAAGAATCTGGTCTCCTCTCTGGAGCTCCCCACTCAGGTCTGCCGGTCCTCCAGCTAGAATAAAGGATACGAAGATACCTTCTCCGTCTTCTCCGCCCACAATGTTAAAGCCCAGCCCTGTGGAGCCTTTGTGCAGGACAACTTTCCGAGGCTCACTGTGGAGACAAACGACATTATTTAGACCCGTGATTGCCTAGGAGGCCACATCAGCTGTCTTTTGCTTTTAGACATATTGGTGTACTTTTACTACTACTACTAGCTGGGTAGCTAAATATACTCATGTCTAAACATATATCTATTTGTAGATATCAGTACCTCTATGTATGTATACACATAGAAAGTAAGCTAGCATCTTAATCTTGCTCCTGAAAGCACCCAATATTAATCTTTCTTCTGAACTTCAGTCCAGCGTTAACAACTGAATGTCAGACATTTCAAAAATGCCTATATCATTGGCTTCTTAAACTCAACTTGTACAAAACTGAACCCATTATCTCTCCCCCTAAACCAGGGGTGGGGGTTTGAGGCCACATGTGGCCCTCTAGGTCGCAAGTGCTGTAACAGGCTGCACTTAAGGACCTAGAAGGCCATATATGGTCCAGGTTTCCCACCCTTGCTTCTTCCAACTTCTCCATTACTATCACGAGTACCCCCATCTTCCCAGCCATCCAGCCTTGAAACATTGTTATCAACCTCTACTCACTCACACTACGTCCCCTTCCCCACCCTAACATATCCAAATCTGTTAGATCTTCTTGTTTCTACCTTTACACCATCTCTTGTACACATTCCCTTCTCTTCATCCACATAGCCACCATCCCAGCATAGGCCCTTATCACTTCTCATCTAAAGTATGGCAATACCCAGCTGGTTGGTTTCCCTCCTTCAAACCTCCCCTGCACTCCAATCTATCTTTCGTTCAGCCGTAGATGCGATCTTCCTAAAGTGCAGGTCTGATCATGCTGCCTTCTTATTCAACAAGCTCCAGTAACTCCCTATGGTCTGTAGGATCAAATAGCAAATCCTCTGTTTGGAATTTAAAGCCCTTCACAACCTGGCCCCTTTCTGCTTGTCTAATCTTAGACTTTATTCCCCTTCACACATGCTATGATCCAGCTACACAGGCCTAGTTACTATTCCAAACGTGCCATCGCCTTTGTACTGGCTGCCCCCATTCCTGAATGTTCTGCCTTCTCACCTCTCCCTCTTAACTTTCCTGATTTCACTCAATATTCAACTTAATTCTCATCTTTTGCAGGAAGGCTTTTCTGGTTCTTATCCTTCCTGCCCCTCCATTCCTTCCTTTTGAGATTACCTTCCATTTCACAGGAATCTTGCTTTGCCAAGTTATTTACATGTTTCTTCCCACCATTAGAATATGAGCTCCTTGAGAGCAGGGACCCTGTTTTTTCCAGCTCTAATCAACTTTTAAGAGCAATTTTAAAATTTTCAGTGTGAGCATTTACACCTCAGAAATGGACAAATACTACAAACCAGGGCTCAATTTATTGTTTTGTTGATTTGTAGACTTAAGTGATACAGAAAATGTTAATAATGAAGAGTAAATTTAAAAGTATATATGAACATTTTTTTCCCTTTTGGAGAGCCTGGTTGTTAAACATTTACTAGCACACTCCTGTCCTGCTCTATAAACACTGCTTGAGCTCAGCAGGAATGTAGTAGAAGGCTCAGGGAATGAAGTCATTACCAGACTAGAGACCTGCTGACAGGACACTAATAATAATAATAATGACAATTATCTTTACTGGCATTTATTTAGTGCTTAAGGTTGGCAAAGTGCTTTACATTCATCATGTCATTTAAGTCTTACAATATCCCTACCCCAGTGCTTTTAGCACAGGGCCTAGCACATAGTAAGAGCCTCATAAATGCTTTCAGATAGACAAGAAAGATCACTAATCTAGGAGTCAGAAAGCCTGGGTTCTTACTGCCACATGTAGCCAGTGTGACTTGTGAAATTGGTAGTATGAAAAATTATCCCTATTTTATAGACAAGAAATTGATAGCAAGAGAGGTGAAGTAGAGAGATTTGCCTGTGATCACATAGTAATAAGTTGGGACTTGAACCCAGGTCCTAAGACTAGTTCTTTCGACTGTATCACATAAATTTAAAGAAAAATTAAATGTATTTTCTTTAAAGCCAGAACACGAACTTAAAATAAGGTTTAATAAAAGCCTTCTGAAAAGAGCAAAGTATTGTTTCCTGGATCAGCTGCCATATTTTTTTCCATTCTTTTCTTCTTTTAACCCTCGGTCTTTCCCTTTACCCAACCTAATTTAGTATTTTGTAACTGTGTTATACAACTTAGCATTTAGCCATATTCTGCCTGTCATTGTTTTCTAATGATTTCATGTTTGTAAATCGTGAATTTCCAAACATAGTATACCTTTTTTGAATGCTGGGATTACATCATTTACTTCTTTTCTGTCATCCATGTTAGCAATAACAGAGCACACAGTTGTAGAAAGAGTAGGCATTCAATAAATATTTGTTGATGACAAATATGGAAATACATTTTGCATGACTGCACACGTGTAACCTATATCAAATTGCATGCCTTCTCAGTGAAGGAGGAGGGGAGGAATGGAGAGAGAGGATTTGGAACTCAAAATGTTAAAAAAAGAATGCTAAAAATGATTTTTATATGTAATTGGAGGAAACTTAAATATTCAATAAATACATTTAAAATATTTGTTGGATAATGATGGTTTATCAGATATCAAAGAATTAAAACACTTTAATTTTTCTTTGATGAGTCAGAAGGAATTTCATGATGTTACAGAGTTTGTCTTATCAATGTGAACTTAAATTTTCATAGAATTTTAGAGTAGAAAGGGAGCTTCTAATTCATCTAGCCTAACATCCTAATTTTGTGACTAAGAAAATTGAAGTCCAGAGAAGGGAAATTATTTGCCCAGGATCACACAGTTAGAATTACTAGAACTTACCTCTTCTGGCCTCCTAGCTTAAGAGCTCTTTACTTTAACCAAATTGATTATTTGGTACTGGAAGACATTCTATTGTGGTGGAAATATTAGGCTTAGAAGATCTGGATCATATTCCTGGCTTTAACATTCACTAGCAATGTGATAAGTTATTTTTCCTCCCTGAATATTTTTTTTCATCTGTAAAATGGGCACATTGTGATTTTGGCCCCTTAAAAACCAAGTAATTCAGCCTCTTCATTTTGCACCATAGGATACTGAGACCTACAAAGGAAAAGTGACTTTCTCAAAGTTATAAGGTGATAAGTAACAGCTGGGACTCAAAGCTACATAATATGACCCCAAAGCCCCATTAAATTAAAAAAAGCCCAATCTCCCTATTAAATACAGACAAATCTAATGATCATTTCTTATCATCTTTTTTTACTTTTCTGCTAAATTTGACACTGATGACCACCTTCTCCTGGAAACTTCTCTTCAGTTTTTTTTGTGATTCTACTCTCTCCTGGTTTTCCTCTTACCTCTCTGACAGCTCTTTTACAGTCTCCTTTTCTGGTTTACCATCTATATCATGCCCCTTAATTTTGGACGTACTGGGCAGCTAGGTGGTACAGTAGATAGAGTGCTGGGCCTGGGGTCAGGAAGACTCATCTTTGTGAGTTCAAATTCAGCCTCAAACACTTACTAGTTATATGATCCTTGGCAAGTCACTTAACCCTTTCAATGTCCTCATCTGTAAAATGAGCTGGATAAGGAAATGGCAAACCATTCCAAAATCTTTGCCAAGAAAACCCTAACTGGGGTCACAGTGTTGGACACAATGAAAAACGACTCAACAACATGTCCTGGCCTTCTCTAGTCTATTTCACTGGCCTTATTAGATACCAAGGGTTTAATTATTATTCTATGTAGGCAACTCATAGATCAGCCCTAGTATTTCTTAAATTCTAGACCCACACTACTAGCTTTCCTGTTGGACATTTAAAAATGTCCCATAAGTCTCTCTAACTCAATATGTCCAAAACACACTTCACTATTTCCTTCCCTGCTCTTCACCAGCCAAAGTTTTCTACGTTATAGAACCTGAATTTTTCTGTTGAGGATAATACCATCCTCTCAGACTCTCTGGTTTATAACTTCAGTATTATCCTTATTCTTTCTCATCCCACATGAATAAACCAATTGACAAATCTTTTAATTTCTAACTCAATATCTCTTGCATTTAACCCCTCACACAGCTACCACTTCAGTTGAGGCTCTCTTCTCCTCTACTGCAGTGGCCTCCTAGTTGGTCCCCCTCAAATCTGCACCTTTCAAATCCCAAATCCATATAGAGCTACCAGCAATTTAAAAAAATCTCCCTTTTTTTCAATTAACAAGCATTGATTTTTTTCTTCTTTCTATCCTACTCCTCCTCCCCACTCCAACTAGAAGAGAAAACCCCCCAAGAAACTATAGCAAAACCCTTTAACGAATATTCATAGTCAAAAACAAAACAAAACAAAGCAACTCAACAAATTCTCTCTTTGTCTATGTCCAAAAAAAAAAAAAAGCTATGACTCGTTCTCCATATCTAATCTATCACTTCTCTGTTAGGAGGTGGGGAACATTCTTCATCATTTGCAACCTGGAATCATGGTTTACCAGATAAAGGCATTTTCTGAAAGCACAGATCTGACTGTACCATATCCCTACTTAATGAGATCTGCTGGGTCCCCTTTGCCTCTGGGATCAAACAAAACTCCTCTTTTTGTCTTTTAAATCCCTCTACAGCCTGGCCCTAAGCTATTTTTCCAGCTTCTAATTTCAGAATTTATACCTCATTCTCCATCCCATAAGCTATAGTCCAACAGAACTGGACTTCTCACTTTCTCACACAGGACACTCCACATTCGGCCTCTGCATTGGTGCTGGCTGGCTCCAATGCCTGAAATATACTCCTCATTTTCCCTTTGAGAATCTCTCACTTCCCTCAAGAAGGTAGCTCAAGCACCACTTACCTGTATCCTTTCCTGACCCTAATAGCTTGTGCTCCTCCCAAACTACCTTCTAATTTTGCTCTTTCTTATTTGTTTTGTATTCCCTATGTATCTACTCTGAACGTACTTATATATGTTGTCCTCATTTTGTTGGTATGACTAGAATTTAATATTATCATGTGGCTTAAAAAATTCTTTTGAGTTTTTTG